GAACAAAGTTATAATACCCTTGTGCACAAGTGCGCTCGGGTATAAAAAACAACAAATATGCACAGTTCATGGATAAATAATGTAGGCAATTACATATCGTCGTTTAAAGTACGTCATTCTGCAGAACCGCGTAACCGGCATTGGCTGCCAAAAATTGGATTTGTTCACATAAGCTCTTGGCTCAAACCTCATCCATAATATACTAGCCAGAAATCCGATTGCTTTATAAATAAAATAATGTAAAAAAAAATTTTTTAAAAACAAGCTTTTATTTAACCTGTACAATCAAAGGAATATAATGAAGTAGTGTAACACAAGATTTTTTAGCAAGAAAATTTTGTCAAAACTGCACTAAAATGAATAAAATAAAATAAGTTAAGGTCTCGTTAAAGTTACTAAAAGCCATTTAGTGAAAGGAGTCATTCAAACTCTAATGAAAATTACTAACAATTTGTACTAATTTACTTCATTTTTAAAAAAGCTTGTCGCGCGAATAGCAAACCGACATTTAAATATCTGCATACATACATATACATACATACCTAACCAACTATGCATGTACGCTGAATTCGCCGACAAGCTTTTTTAAAAACGAAGTAAATTAGTACAAATTGTTAGTAATTTTCATTAGAGTTTGAATAACTCCTTTCACTAAATGGCTTTACATACATTTATATGTTTATAATTACGCATAAAAACCCTGCTGCTATGGTTTTTTGTACGTAATAACTGAACACAATATTAAAAGCAGCAACTCTTATCCATCTATGACACAGATTCTATGTATATCGCAAAGCTCGAGAACGGTTGAACCGAGTTTTTCGAAGTTTCGGATACCTGCTGCAGACTTACAAAGGATGGTTATAGGCTAACAAAAATCTCGATATACAAAAGGGGAGTGGAACCTCCCATACAAACCGAGTTTTTCATACTCCATATCTCTGAAAATGTGCATGGTAGAGTTCTGGAACATGATATGGAGATATATGAAATCGATCGCATACTCTTGGAGAAAAATTTGAGCTATTGGAAAAGGAGGCGTGGCACCTCCCATAAAAACCTAACTTTTCATACTGCATATCTCTGGAAGCGTTCATGGAAGAGTCCTAAAACTGGGTATTGACGTATATGAAATCGATTGCACACTCCTGGAGAAAAATTGGAGATATTGGAAAAAAATGCACCTTCCATACAAATCGAATTTTTCATACCGCATATCAGTGTTCATGGTAGATTACTGGAACTTGCAATTTGCGCATATGAAATCTATCTTATACTATTGGAGAAAAATTTTACCTATTGAATAATTTTTCATACTGCATATCTCTGGAAATGTTCATGGTAAAGTACTGGAACTTGGTGTGGAGATATATAAGATCAATCGCGTATGCTTGCAGAAAAATTGAAGCTATTGAAAAAGAGGGCGTGGTACCTCCCATACAACCCGGATATTTCATACTGCATATTTCTGGAAGCGTTCATGGTAAAATTTTTGAACTTGGTACGAAAATGTATGAAAACAAAAATAACAAATAGACTGTTGTGCGAGTAAGACGTGTTACTGACGTTCTCCTAAGGTTTGTAACCTTTTGCACATAGCTTCAGTTTTAAACAACCGCAAACTTAAACTAAAAGTTAACAAGTAAGAGCAGCGCTGTCTTCGGCTATGCCGAAGTCTTCAACCTTTCATGAGTATCTGAAAAGTTTACTTTAATAGATTACTGCATTTAAAAAAAAAATTATATATTTACAGAATACATAGCTAGAGGAGATACATATATGAAAAACCATATCTAAACAATCAGAGGTATGGAAGATATACCTTATATAGCACCAATCTAAGTGATGTTCACTGCTCTGTTATCGGTATGTATACCGGTAACACAATTTAATGGGCTTAGACTCCTACGTAAAGGAGATATATCGTAATAACTGGTATCTGAATAATCAGTTGTATAAGAGATAAAGATTATACAGCGTAGATTTTGACGATTTTCTCAGTAGACTTTGTATTATTATTTATAGAATAGCTTACGAAATGTATCTGTGTTAGCGGTCGAAATAAAGCAGTTTTACAGTAACGGCATATCTGAACAATCAGCTGTATGGAGGATATAAATAGGTTACAGTGACCCGATCTTTGTTAATTTTACTGTAAACTTTCTGTTGGTAATTAGTGTAAATATTGCGAAATTTCATGCTTCTAGCTGCATATATGGAGAAGTTATAACAAAGAATCTCGAATCTGAACAATCAGTTGTATGGAGGCTATAGGTTATAGCGACCCGATCTTCGCCATTTTCACTGTAAGTATGTTTTTGATAATGGGTGGAAATGTTGGAAAATTTCATGTTCCCAGCTGCATAAATGGAGGAGTTATAACGAAAATTCTCATAACTGAACAATCAGATGTATGGGAGATATATGTTATAGTGACCCGATCTTTGTTATTTTCACTATAAGTATTCTGTTAACAATGAGTGAAAACGGCGCGAATTTGCATGTTCCTAGCTGCATACATGGAGAAGTTATCGCAAAAAATCTCATATCTGAACAATCAGTTGTATGGAGGCTATAGGTTATATCGACCCGATCTCGCCAATTTCCCTGAAAGTTTTCTTTTTATAATGAGTGACAACAGTGCCAAATTTCATGTTCCTAGCTACTTAAATGGAGGAGTTATAACGAAAAATCTTATATCTGAACAATCAGTTGTATGGTAGCTATATGTTATAGTGACCCGATCTTTGTAATTTTCACTCTAAGTTTTCTGTTAATGATGGGTGGAAGTATTGCAAAATTTCATGTTCCTAGCTGCATAAATGGAGAAGTTATAACGAAAAATCTCATATCTGAACAATCAGTTGTATGGGAGATATATGTTATAGTGGTCCAATTCTTCCACTTCCGACAAATGATAAATACATTATAA